AATTTGATCTGAAAGTCCTGGAATAAATGGAATGAAAAGGTTCGTAATAGGTTTATTTTGATTTTGTTTTGTTCGTGGGAATTCAATTTCGTTAACACATTTTTCAATAAAAGAATTTGGATAATTATTGAAATTTAGAATTTATTTTATAAATTGTTTTTCTTTGGAAAAATTGGATTGATTACAAATTATTTTTGCTCTATCATATAGACTTTTTAAGATACCTTTTTTAACCATTATCGGGTGATTTAAGTCGAAATTCAAATATCGGTTAGTATGAGTAGGTGTTCTATAGACCAAGGTTTCGAAATTGTCTAAATTTTTCTGAAAAAGTATATCGAGAAAATGAATTTGGTGATTTTGTTCTTTTTCAATAGTGAATTTAATTGTTGGTTCTTTATTATTCAGATAAGATAAAAATTCATCAAGTTTTTGTTCGCCATGACTGTAAATGGAGAATACGTCATCAAAAAAAAAAAAAGTTAAAGGTGTGCAGGAAATAATGTTTGTCAAAATGAAAAAGCTGCAAGTTGCGAAAATCGATCCTCTTTTCGGTAGAAACAGTGCAACAGTTGCAATCAGCAATGAAACACAGACGAAAACTTTCCGCCTCGCTCGGTGGACAAGTAATAGAAAGAGAAGGAGAGTTATTGCGTCACTGCCAGAAAGCTAGGAGGTATTTTTTAAATCCCCCTAACGAGCAATGAAAACAACAAAAAATGAGTACAAAATTATACGAAAAACCTTGCAATTTCCTGATTGCAAAAAATGCCAAACAAATTAACCTTCCTCCAATCATACCCACTTTGGACGACTTATCAGCATTATCTCCATCATCTCGCCAGATGGCACAAAAGCGCAAAGTTTCCCAAAACATGAAATGCCATAATCGCATCAAGCGGATCGGAAATGCTGCTGGTTGGATTGGAACGGATGAAGGAAAACTATTTTGACGAGCGAGCTAACAGGTAGACCAGCCGCCAATCCAACGGTTATAAGTTACAAGTAGTCCGGAAAGCCTGTCCCTTAAAAACATTATATTTGCTGGCCCCACAAATCCCGGTCTTTACTTTCCCCCCATCAGCGTCGTCGACCAGCGAACCGAATTAGCCCGGTCCCTACTCTTGGGGAGTGCGCCCCATGGCGTCTCTGATCGATACGCACTCTTGCAATTTAGATTTGGTTGGGGTGGCTTCCCTATTCTCGGGCCATGAAATTGCACAAATATAATGCGACAGGGTTGGTACCGGATTATTTCCATAGCGAACGCAAAAAAAGGTATCCAGTTGTACTTAGATCAGGTGAAAATATTCTCTTTTGGTACTCGGCAAAATTGCCGATGTGCTTTGGCCACTTAACTCAACTTAGAATAAATATTGCCTGCCCCTCTGCATTAATTTGAAATATARTGATTATCCCACATTAGCGTTATCTCCTTTCACTGATCTCTCTCACACTCCGTCSKAATTTATTAACAAGCCCCATCCATACATMATGGGTCCGGGGCTCTAGATTGCATACAAAAGTCCATATTCATGTGTGTGAGTACATATSAATASGGTGTTTTCTCTTTTTTTTCAATGTTGATATATAGAAAGTAGTTATGAGAAACATTACACTGATATAATTTTTTTTGCAAAAAGTCTCCATATTAATGGTAAACGAATTTAAATTCAAATCAGATATTTTCCGCCAAAAACGCCGAATCCGTATCGTCGGTTGCCTATCCCGATTATGACGTAGCAGATCATATCAACAAAGTGTCTCGTGTTTATTTTGTGGTTTTCGCAGCTTTGTTTTATTATTTAAGTTATTGTGATTTGTATATACTTTCCTGACTGTGCTTCAATTCCAAATCAAAATGAATTCCTGGGTTTCAGTCATTTATACTCTTTATTTATCAATTAATTTTAATTTGGTGTATTTTTCCACCATCATCAGTTTTTCTAAAATAACATAGTTAAAAAAAAAGTTCATTAATTTAAAAAACAATCACAGTTCGTCAACAGCCTCATCATATCACACATTAAAATACATCGCAATTGCAACACTTTAAAACATTCTAAAATTAATTAGGCCTAACAGG